TATCATAATGATAAAACATGATTGCTCAGCTTAGTGAAGGGGAAAATGTTAACAGTTTTTGATGTAGCAACACATCATAATAATAGGCCATCCGCCACAGAGGAGGCATTGTTGGAGACCCAAGGCCAGTGATTGTTTTTTGTGTGTGTGCTATTTTCATAAAGAAAATAAGTTTACATTCATGGTCCACACACTTGGGCTGAGGCAGAATCCTCTTCTGACAAACAGCAGGAAATGTATGTGGGATTACAAATAGGGGACCAGTGAATGGGAAGAATAAGCTGAAAAGGATCTGCTTGCCTAAATGAAGATAGGGAGCATATTAATTCCCTTAAACAGTCAGTCACCTCTGTGTGATCAATAGAAGCCAGAGTGAACCTTGAAAAGAAATCTGAGGTCAAGCACACTTTGGCCGTGACATCCAGTGAAATTGATTTACAGGTGGAAAAAAAAAAAAAAAAAAAAAGACATGATTAAAAAACAAAGCAGAGGTCGGGAGCAGTGGCTCAGCCTGTAATTCCAGCACTTAGGGAGCATGAAGTGGGTGGATCACGAGGTCAGGAAATCGAGGTCATCCTGGCTAACATGGTGAAACCCCACCTCTACTAAAACTATAAAAAATTACCCAGGCATGGTGGGACGCGCCTATATTCCCAGCTACTTGGGAGGCTGAGGCAGGAGAATCACTTGAACTAGGGTTGCAGGTTGCAGTGAGCCGAGATTGTGCCAACTGCACTACAGCCTGAGCGACAGAGTGAGATTCTGTCTCAAAAACAACAATGAAACAAACCAAACCAATCCAAAACAACAACAACAAAAAAAACAGAACCACCACAACAAAAATATCCCAACCAGAATCCTTTCTTTAACCGAAATTTTACTTTGGAATCCCATGAATAAGTCAAATATCTATCCACAGCTATATCTGCATCTATCAAGTGTGGAGGTGTGGGGGACAAGAGTGTGGTCACAGGACTCCAGCAGTTCACCCCTGCTCCCATTTCTATTGCCCCCATTTGTACTGGTATCTTTTCTCCCTTTGGGTCATCCTAATACAGTTTATGAACCACTGGGCTCAATAGGTTTTCATGTCTCCTCCAGATTCAGTAGTCTGTGGTTCTGAAACCTTTGGCATCAAAGAGACCTCAAATCGAATGTTCAGTTACAGGTTCTAGAATAGCATTGTCCAACAGAAATCTTTAAATTGTATAAGCCATGTAAAGTTTTCTAAGAGCCCTACTCCAAGCAAAAAGAAGTAGGTACAATTAATTTTAATAACATTTTATTTAAGTCAACACATCCAAAATATACACAATTCAACATGTAATCAATATAAAAATAACCGAGACATTTTGCACTTTAAAGTTTTCAAAATGCAATGTGTATTTTAAGCTACGGCACATCTCAATTCAGACTAACCACTTAGAGTGGCCGACACACGGTCAAATGACCACCATACTGGAAAATATAGAAATAGAGACTTACATGGTTCAGAGCCTTTTCCTGAGTCACAAACACAGCTGCCCATTAATTTTATGAAAAAGAACTGCAGGCCTCCTGTGTCCAGACTCATAGATAGTGAGACAAGCACATGGCCCTGCCTCTGTTTCCCACGGCAGTAGCCACTGTCTTAGTCCAGTTGTGCTGCTATACAAAATACCTGAGACTGAAGAAGTTGAAAGGAACAGAAATTTATTGCTCACATGAGGTCTGGAGGCTGGGAAGTCCAAGATCAAGGTGCCACCTGCAGGTTCACTGCCTGGTGAGGGTCTAATCTATGCTTTCAATAGCACCTTGTTGCTCTGTCCTCCAGAGAGGATGAATGTTGTGTCCCCACAGGGGAATGGAAGAAAACAAACTCACTCCCTGAAGCCCTTTTGTAAGGGCCCTAATCCCATCCAGGAGGCCTCTGCCCTCATGACTTAACCACCTCCTAAAGGGCTCACCTCTTGTGTGTTTGTTTGTTTGTTTGTTTGGGTTTTTTGGTTTTGTTTTCTCGAGACAAAGTCTCACTCTGTTGCCCAGGCTGGAGTGCAGTGGCATGATCTCGGCTCACTGAAAGCTCTGCCTCCCAGGTTCAATAGATTTTCCTGCCTCAGCCTCCTAGGTAGCTGGGATTACAGGTGCATGTAACCATGCCTGACTAATTTTTGTATTTTTAGTAGAGGTGGGGTTTCACCATGTTGGTCAGACTGGTCTCAAACTACTGACCTTGTGGTCAGCCTGCCTCAGCCTCCCAAAGTGCTGGGACTACAGGCATGAGCCACCATGCCTGGTGGCCTCACCTCTTACTACTGTCATATCAGCAATTAAGTTTCAACATGATTTTTGGGGAACACATTCAGACCATAGCAGCTCTTTCCTTCAGGGAACCCTTACCAGCCCTTCCCTGGGCCTGAGAGTGTTGTTGGGTTGGGTGTTTTGCCAGTTGAGGCAGGAACTAGTTGTTTCACTTCTCTTTGTGGCCATCTGGTTACTTCAGACTTTCTGACTCCTGGAGACCATCAGGAGGTGTATGTGCAGGTCACCAAGGCTATAATGGCCATGCTTGAATTTGGAGGCCTGACAGTATCTTACATGTTGGCCTAAGTTATCATCATCTTTTGGCATTAATACATAGCACTTTGCGCTGAAACAGTCAATATTTTTCATATGATGTTTGTGAGGGCAAATATATGACTCAATACAATCATGTTACAACAGCCAAATTGAATGAAGATGTTTCACTGTTTCTTTGAGACTGAAATCTAACATTAAGGCTCTGCTGCTGGTTATTGATATATAGATCAGGTTTGTAGCCATTGGCTGACTAGCATTATGAATTTGAGTCTCAGGGCAGTGTTATTTCAGTGCAGTATTTTCACATTTATCACTAAAAACCAGGAATAAAAGCACCTCTTCTTGTCCAAAAGATGTTTTGAAGAGTAGTGAATGGAAGAAAAATTCCACCTATAATCTGATTTTTTTCACCACTCATGACTTGACTATAAGCTTAGAGGTACCTAATTTAAAAAATAACTATAACATTGCTTTATTCACAATCTGGTAATTATTCTGTGTCTCAGGTCTGATAAATGATAAGGAATTTTGCCATCTTTCCAATGTTTCAGCTTGGATGGCTTAGATTCTTAGTCAACTAAATTATAATAATCTACTAGTTTGAAACGGTAATAAAACAAGCATCTCATTACAAGAGTTACATTTCTTTTTGAAATTACTTTTCTTTTTTTGGGCCTTGTGGGAAAAGCTGTTAAGAACTCTTCTGCAATTGTATAAATCTATACTTTGGGCTTAGATATTGAAGTGTTAGCAATGAATTCATCATTTATAGATCATAAGTATCTTTAAAGATAGGCACCTTATTTTCTAAAGCAGGTAAATTAATGTTTTTTCCCACTGAATGCCTTTCATCAACAGGGGATTTTTCCCCCTGAGCACTTGAATGAATTCCCTTTTTCTTCTGAGTTGGGGTATTACCATTTCGTGGATAAATAAATGAAGACAGAGACTGTATGAATAGATATAACAGAGTCAGAGATAGAACTCAGAACTCACAAACTCTGATTTAATGAAAAATTTTCCAGTAATTGTCTATGTTTAGGGAAAAGCAAGCTTGCAGCCTTCCAGCTCCAGATAGAGCAAAGGTAGAACCTCTGGGACATTCTTTTCTGATTTGTACAGAAATTACCCAGAACCTAAGTTTTCTGACCGTAACCTGTTGATCCTCAAATATTTAAGAACCAAACTGTGTGCCCTAAGCACTCTGCTATTATCAAGGGGGTGAATGTGTGTGTGTGTGGATGGAGAGAGGTGTAAACCAAAAATAAAATTCGAAGCCCCACCCCCACCCCCAACCATCTGAACGGACTAATTTCTCAGCCAGGGCTCTTATAAAATATATCCTGAAAGACTGGTTCAGGCCATGAGGGGAAGTGAGGGTCTGATACGCCTCATTATATATCAACGTGGACTTTAAATCTGATAAGAAATTTTAGACGTATTCTCTCTGAAGCCTGTTACCTGGAGGCTTTATCTGCTTAATAAAACATTAGTCTCCAAAACCTCTTAACCCAGATATTCCTTTCTTTGATCTCTTTAGACAAACTCAACCAATTGTCAACCAGAAAACGTTTAAATTTTCCTATAGCCTGAAAACCCACCCCCGCGTTGGAGTCGTCCAGCCTTTCTGGACCAAACCAATGTATTTCTTAAATGCATTTAATTGATGTCTCACGCCCCCCTAAAATGTGTAAAACCAAGCTGCACCCCAACCACCTTGGACACATGTTCTCAGGACCTCCTGAGGGCTGTGTCACGGGCCGTGGTCACTCCTATTGGGCTCAGAATAAATGTCTTCAACTATTTTACAGAGTTTGACTCTTTTTGTCGACAGAGGTTACACAAAACCCTCTCCTATGTAAGACTATCAGACGCACGTGATGCCGGTTGTAACGCCAGTGTGAAAAGCTGAACTGCGTGGTCTGTGCCTGTATACAAGGGGAGGTGCCCAAGGGGATTTCTCTTCACAGCTCATTGAGCATAGCTGACCTGCTAGCGATGGTCTGACACCTCCTGATTTCAGATCTGCCCTGAAAACAATTACATGAATATGCCCCTGCAACTTAGAATACTATTAGACCTGGAGTCTGAAGTCGACCTCCAAACCCCATCCAATCAGGTAAGGGAGAAAAGTGAGAGCCTAACATTCCCTAGCGCTCATAATGTATTATTCCTTTACAATTATTTCACTTTTTATCCCTTCCTCTCAGAGATAAGAAAAAGCCCTATTTCGCTGGGGTTCTGGACGAAGACTCACAGTTCATGTGGGCTTGTTCATCTCCACTTCTTTTTGCATGCCAGGGCAACTTTCCTGCAGCTTCCCTGACGGGAATATTTTCCGGACCTGGCCCGCGGCGGCCCGCCCCGCCCCCACCGTCCTCCCCGGACGCGCGCTGAGGCCCGAGATCCCGCTGCCCCCGCCTCCTCCACGCCCCTCTTACCCCATTCAGTCTGGCGATTTGCACTCGGCGCTGGCTGTTTTCTGCCAGCTGAGGCTGTTCCCGAAGCGCCGGGCTGGCGGTCCCGGGCTCGGCAGGGGCCCTGCGGGACGGAGGGGTGGCGGCCGAGGCCTGCGGGGCGGGCGGGCTGCGAGCGGCTGGCGCGGCGCGGGGACCCAGCGCGCCGGGCGGGAAAGGGGGCGGCGGCCGGCGGGGACCGAGCCCCGGTGACGCGGCGGGCGCGTGGCGGGCCCGGGACGCCCGGCCCGGGGATTGGCCTCCGCGCCGCTGCTCCCGGAGCATCCCTCGTCGCCTGGGACGTCGACTCGGGCCTCTTCCTCCGAGCAGCCCTCAGCGGCGCCGCCTTAGTGCTCCGGGTCGAGCCCGGGGAGGAAAAGCCTGGGGACGGCAGGGGCGTGACCCGGGCGCCGAAGGAGGTGTGCGGGAGGGCGGCGCGCGGCGGTCGGGCCGGAGCGGCCGGAGGGGCAGCGACCTCTGCGGGCGGGCGGGAGGCGGACGCGCCGGGGCGGAAGGGCCGCTCTGTCCCGGACGGGCGGCTGCCGAGCTCGGGCCCTGGCTGCGCGCTCACGTGGGTCTCGGCGCCGACGACCGGCGAGGTCCGCGAAACTTGGGTTAGGGTTTGTCAAGTCACCTGGAGCGACTCGGGGAGAAGCCGGCTTTCCCACCAGGGGCGGGGATCGCAGTCTCTTTCCTTTAGAAAGTTACTCCGACACTTTTGATCATCCGTCCATAGTAAGGAGGGAAACTAGAGAGCGTGGTTTGTCCCCGGGGAGGGAGTGTTGGAGGATCCCGTCCAGTGGGAAGAGCCGGTGTTAGCGGAGGGGTGCGTCCAGCCCGCGGGCGCTTCCGCCGGGTAAAGGGTTAACTGCATCCTGCCGGTTCGGTTTACATGTAAATAGAGAGCAGCTGCTCCGCGCGGCCCCGGCTGGCTCTTTTAAGTTTTTGATTGGTTGCCAATGACATCACCGCCCGTGTTATAACACCGAGGACCCAGAGCCGCGTCGGATAAGCCCTCCTTAAGGAGACGAGGCCACGCCTTCTTCCCCGCCCCCTAGGCTGCCCATTGGCCGCGGGGCTCTGTGAGGTAGCGGTCGGCTTTCTCCGGAGTTTTATTGGTCCAACGCGCCGTCGGTCGGCGGCGGGCCCGCCCCCTCAGAACCTTACATTTACAGTGTAGCAAAAGAGAAAGTAACTATGTTGCTGCTGGAGATCAATGAAGCCGAGTGAATGGGGGCTGAATGCGCGAGTCCATAGCTGAAGCGGAGCACCAGATGGTGGAAGGCTACACTTATTTATGAAGTAAGTGGAAGTCACCGCCACTACTCCTGAGAGCCCGGACTGGAGGTGGAGGAGTGTAAGGCGGTGCGTGTGCGTGTGTGAGTGTGAGTGTGTGTATGTGAGAGAAACAGAAATATAGAGAGGCGATGCTGACGGAGGAGCCACAGCAGGTAGGGTTATAAGGTTCCGGCTGTTGGCTCCTGCTGCCCTGTGCGTTTACTCTCTCTGCAGTCTACTTGGATTTGGGGCGAAGAAAAAATGAGGTTTGTTGGGATGCTTTACTGCAGTTTTAAATGCCCGGGGCTCATTAGCGCGCTGAGTGCCGAGGAGTGAAGGGGGAGCGGGGGGATGTTAAGTGCTCCAGGAGCGGGGAAGAAGCCTTCTCTAACCACTTAATTTTCTCTCCAGTGGTGGAAGGGAGAGGGGATAACTCAGTATTTCTCTGGGAGATTTTGCTGGGCCAGACTGGATGGTTTCACGGGCAGTATATACGCCCGACCCTGTGCTGCAGGGATGCAGATCTCTCTGTACACTCGGTGAGTGTGTGTGTGTGTGTGTGTGTGTGTGTGTGTGTGTGTCGCGCACTCTGTGTGAAGGTGGGGGTCCCAGCTTGTGTCTCTGTGAACACGCTTATGCGTGTCTCTCAAAAGAAATGGGCTGTTGATCTTGGACGTGCCCTACCAGGTAACACAATAGCGAAGACTTTCACCGCTTGGTCCAGCCTGGAAACAGTTATAGCTTCTGGAATAGTACGCGCTCTTCAGAAAAAAATACTACGCAAGGGAGGGAGGGGGTTGTTGGATCCTTCGCTCCCATCCAAAGGTGGGTGAGAGAAACCTGAGTCGGTGGAGATCTGCCGACGTGATGGGTGCGTGCCCCCGTGTGCGCGCGTGAGTGTGGATTCCGTCTGTGACACTTTGGTTCTATGTCAGAGAATGGGACGGTCGCGTGTGGACAGATGATAGATGGCATTTTTCCAGATAGCTCTTAAAGTTCGTTTAGGTGAGTGGCTCTTGCATGGGGTTTGCTGTCTTTGCTGTGTGTATGCCTAATACAAGAAGAGTTAGCAAGCCCGGGTCGTAGAGTGCCCCTGTGCCTGCAGGAGGAAGGAGCTGTCTTTTTGCAGACACTCTTTGAAATCAGAGATAGATCTCATGGGCAACAATTCACTGCCCCTTTCAAAGGGGACAGGCTAATTGGGAAGCCCTCTTTATGGCATCAGTACTCTTGAAGGGGGGATATCTATCTGTATGGAATTGAAACCTTATACAACGTGGCTGCCTCCCATTGAGAGAAGCTCTAGGATGCACAGTCTGTGCCAGCCGGAAAGATGAAGAGGGGAGAAGAGCCCAAGTTGTCCTTTCCAGGCAGGAGTGAGGGTGCGGGTAGGTGGGGGAGCAAAGCGTGATGGATTTGCTGGGGTTGGTATTTTCAGATCTGGCTTCATGGCTGAAAATTTCGTTTTGGGACACTAGTTAGTAGTCAAAAGGAGAAATGCAGATTAATTTATAAGAGGCCAAAAGAAAATATGTGAGGTTTTAATATGATTATGTTGTGCTTTTCAAAGGACCTCAATAGAATGGAAGGCAATAATAGCTCCAGGTTAAGGAGATTCACTTAAGGGGATCCTTTTATTCTGATTTGCAGAAAGTTGACATCCACCCTGATGTATATTTAGCTGCTGTACATTTCTGTGAACCACGCCAGGGCTCTTGGTTATCCCTTTGCCTTTCAAGCAAGTGAGGGAATTAAATGGCAAACATGCAAGGGTGGACAAATGGGTCTTTCTCAGACGTTTGCAGTGTACTTCTTCCCAAGAGCTGAGGTTCAGAATAGATGCCTCTTAAGAGTCTTCCCTTCTGTCTTCAGCTTTTCTAATTATTTGTGCTTATACCTTCTCTACAGCTGAACTTTTATGTAGGTCTAGGAAAGGTTGTTCATTGACATTTACAGCATTACATCCAAATTTAACCTTAGACTTAGCAACCAAATAGATTGGGGCCCTCAGGTTTGCATCCTCTTTGAATACATAAAAATGAGTTTCAAGTTTTGATAGTGGTATGATAAAGGGCAACTAGGACAACTTTGCTCAGCAGGATACAACAGCTTTTCCTAGGGATTGAATGAGACTGCCTTTTGTATCACGTGACTTTATTCTTTCTTTCCCCTTTCCCCTTCTTTACAGACTGTCTTGAGTTCTTCTTGAATTGCCAGTTTTCAGCCTCCTCATGCCTCCGTCTCCTTTAGACGACAGGGTAGTAGTGGCACTATCTAGGCCCGTCCGACCTCAGGATCTCAACCTTTGTTTAGACTCTAGCTACCTTGGCTCTGCCGCCCCAAGCAGTAACAGCCACCCTCCTGTCATCGCCACCACCGTTGTGTCCCTCAAGGCTGCGAATCTGACGTATATGCCCTCATCCAGCGGCTCTGCCCGCTCTCTGAATTGTGGATGCAGCAGTGCCAGCTGCTGCACTGTGGCAACCTACGACAAGGACAATCAGGCCCAAACCCAAGCCATCGCCGCTGGCACCACCACCACTGCCGTCAGAACCTCTACCACCTGCCCTGCTAACCAGATGGTCAACAATAATGAGAATACAGGCTCTTTAAGTCCGTCAGGTGGGGTGGGCAGCCCTGTGTCAGGGACCCCCAAGCAGCTAGCCAGCATCAAAATAATCTACCCCAATGACTTGGCAAAGAAGATGACCAAATGCAGCAAGAGTCACCTGCCGAGTCAGGGTCCTGTCATCATTGACTGCAGGCCCTTCATGGAGTACAACAAGAGTCACATCCAAGGAGCTGTCCACATTAACTGTGCCGATAAGATCAGCCGGCGGAGACTGCAGCAGGGCAAGATCACTGTCCTAGACTTGATTTCCTGTAGGGAAGGCAAGGACTCTTTCAAGAGGATCTTTTCCAAAGAAATTATAGTTTATGATGAGAATACCAATGAGCCAAGCCGAGTGATGCCCTCCCAGCCACTTCACATAGTCCTCGAGTCCCTGAAGAGAGAAGGCAAAGAACCTCTGGTGTTGAAAGGTAATGCCCCTGCTCCCTTCCCAAGCACGGTCCTGATTAGCTGGGTTCACTTTGGGTTTTCTCATAGAAGTGACAGCATTCTCCTTACCCTGGCTACCAAAGACCAAAATAGACTTCATTTTTGTCTTCCCTTCTATGTTCTTTATTATATTGGTTTAGTAAGAAAAACCCAGCAGCACTGAACTGGAAGCCAGAAGATCTGGGTTCTACCCTTAATTCGGCTTCTAATTTGCATTGTGCAAGTCATTTCACCTCTCTGGGACTGTTTTCTCATCTTTCTAAAAAGGGGCTTTATTCCACCAGATGATATCTCAAGTCATGCCTGGTCTGCTAGCTCTATTCCAATCAATCACTAGTTGGAAAGTTATTGTCTCTCAGACTTAACCACTGTTGATGGAGCAGAGGAAGGAGCAACCATGGTGAACTACAAGTAAACCTACAGATACCAGTTCTTTTTGTGGGAAATTCTTCCTCTTTCTCACCTTTCTGACCAGCTTGACTTTTATGTGGTTTATAAAGTGACCTTGAAGAAGGGCAGAGCTTATTCTAAGGCCCCATAAAAAGTGTAAGTTCACCAACTACATCCTCTGCCAAGGCTCCAAGGGAACAGAGACATTTTTATGAAACGCTCCCCGACCCATTGTTCTTTCTGGCCTCACCTGACAACAGCTGGCATCATGGTTCCTCCCAAGATGGAGTAATGTGTCATGTGTCCCAGTATACTGAATGCAGAATAACTCTGAGATTAGTGGAACTGAGCTCCAGCAGAAGGAATTACTCACCCACTCTTCTTGGAGCA